ACCTTTGGTTTAAGGAACGGCTGAGAACGATCGTCGATCGTATAAGGATGAGCGGCATTGGGAGATTACTAAAGGTGACGGTTTATGATGGAAGGCGTTAATGATGGGCGGTGAGCGGAGAAGGTTGAGGGTGTAGAAGGCGGATGCCGTTGACGTCGGCAGTAGTTTGGGGCGTGGGCGACGGCGGGCGTCGACGGCGGTGAGTTACGGCCGGTGAATCGAAGGGTGGCGGTTTCGACTGGCAAAATGGGTGGAGGCGGCGTCGGCGGCGGCGGAGAGGGTGGGGGCGGTGACAGCGAGGGCGGTGACGTCGGCGGCGGAGGCGGTGGCAGCGAGGGCGGTGGCGCCGAGGGCGGCGGCGGCGAGGGTGGCGGTGGAGTTGGCGGCGGCGGCGGCGGTGGCGGCGGCGGCGAGGGCGGCGGCGAGGGTGGCGGCGGAGAGGGCGGCGGGGGCGAGGCCTGGGTGGAGGCGGCGAGGGCGGCGGCGAGGGCGGCAGAGACAGTGGTGGCGGAGGCGGTGGCGGTGGCGAGGGCGGCGGCGGCGAGGGTGGAGGCGGCGACGGCGGCGGCGGCCAGGGCGGCGGCGAGGGCGGCGGAGGTGGCGGCGGCGAGGGCGGCGGAAAGGGTGGCGGTGACGGTGGTGGGGGCGAGGGCGGCGGCGAGGGTGGCGGTGACGGTGGCGGCGAGGACGGTGGCGGCGAGGGCGGCGGCGGCAGGGCGGCGGCGACGCGAGGGCGGCAACGGCGAGGGCGGCGGCGAGGGCGACGGCGACGCGAGGGCGGCGGCGGCGAGGGCGGCGGTGACGGCGACGGCGGCTGGTAGAACTAGCTCTCGAACTCGTTGTGGAAGCCGCACGCACGGTACGAGGAGTGCAGGGTGGCGCCCACCACGTACGCGGCCGTGCTGTACTCGGTGTTGCACGCGGCCGGGTCGACGTAGCACCGCTCGTGCTCGACCCGTGGAGGCCGTACGTGCCGGGGTGCGCGAGGCTCACGTCGTCCGCCGTGACGACATGCACCTCGCCGCTCACGAGGCTGACGCCGGCCGGGTAGGCGGCGAGGCACGGGCAGTCGAGCGGCGGCGAGGGCGAGGGCGGCGAGGGCGGCGGCGACGTCGCCAGAAGATCGTCTGGTACGACGCACTTGCGATGGCCATGTCGCCCTCGCCCTCGCGCGCGACGACGATGGAGGAGAGCGAGTCGGGGACGGAGGTGCCGGAGGACAGGCCGCCGGTGCGGTCGCCCTTGTAGGCCTGGCGGCGAGGGCGGCGGCGACGGTGGCGGCGGACATCGGTGGCGGTGGCGAGGTCTGCAGCGGCGAGGGCGGCGGCGGAGACGGCGGCGGCGGCGAGGGCGGCGGAGAGGGTGGCGGCGGAGAGCGGCGGCGGGGGCGAGGGTGGCGGCGGAGAGGGCGGCGGGGGCGAGGGTGGAGGCGGCGAGGGCGGCGGCGGAGACGGCGGCGGCGGCGAGGGCGGGGGCGGCGACGGTGG